TTGGTGGTTATTCAAAACAGGTTAAATCATCCAATAGTTGTGCTATGGCATAAAATAGTAGATGTTACAAGACATGTTAGTCCTTCATCACTTGTGGACTTTGCAAAGGCAACCAGCTAGAAAGGGTCATGTTGTTCTATAGAAGAGGTTAGAATTGGCACGAACGCAGCCCTGCCTAAGAAGCTGTTGAATTCTTCCGCTAAGGGAGAAGATTTGTCTTTGGATTAATATTACCTTTATTTTGTTCTACAGTTTTGCTTCCTTTACTGACGCCTGGAGAGTTGATAAACCTAAAAAGTTGTGTAGTTACATTACAATTATTAACTTGCTAGCAGAGCAGCACTGAATAAATCCAGCTGTCTTTCTTTTGTGCTCATTAAATTGTTTCAATATTTGCCAATCCAGTTTTAGAAATGGGGCACAATACAACAGTTAGTTATGCAATGGACTAAATTAGAATTTGTTTGTTTATGAATCAAATGATCAAGGAATGCTTACCTACATGTAAAAACAGAAAACTAAAATATAATAGATGAGTACGTCTATAATGATACTAGATTATTGATTTGCTTTAATCTAGATTGCATTTAGTGCTCTTGGATTTTGAGATGAAAAAAGTAAACACTTTTGCTTACACTTGGGTCACATAATCAGTGTAGAGTATTGCATTAAGAGAACTTCCTTCAACACTAAGAAACTTGTCCAGAAAATGAAAATAGTTAACACCCTTTTCAAATTCAGTACTTTACTACTTATTGGAAGAGGTCAAAAGACAGCTTTGGATTAAGTCAGTATTTCAATGCAACATATCTATTTGTTCCAGATTCCTTTATTAGATTTTAGCACAAGGAAATATGTTTTGCCTCTCTATTCCAAGTAATATTACTTGCCCAGGAAGAAAATGGATTTTTCAACTTGAATATCACTAAGAATCCACATACTTAGTTTACATCTATGTCATTCTAGCAGACATATGCTGAACAGTATTTAGAGAGTAAAATTTTAAGCAGGGGGTTATGTGTTCAGATTTTCTGCTCTCCTATAAAGCTGGGTTGGGATATGTTTAATCACTCGCTATATTTCAGACAGAGTCCTCATACAATTATTGTTAGAATAGAATCCGTGGATAGGAGATCCTTGAAAGAAGATTGCGGAGGCAGGATCAGTGGGGAAACACAGTAAATATTTATTACTTTGACATTATTTTTTCCTTTGCAACATGCTGATTCTTGAGCAGGTGGTTCCACCACAAATGCGCGAACGACAAAAGCGCGTGTGACTAAACCGCGGTGACAAAACCGCGCTGTCAAAACCGCGGTACACACACACACACACACACACACACACACACACACGTGTGTGTGTATGTGTGTGTGTGTTGCATTTGTGCTGATAAATAAATAAAGGTAAATTTATAAGTAAATAAATTACATCAGTATCAAATTTATCTACTTCTAGATAACAACCATTTCTGAAAATCAAATTAGTATAAACTGCATGAAAATAGAAACTAAAGTTAACTGCGAGAAACCATCTCATCCAATGTCCAGCAGAAAGGACATGCTGTGGAGCCTTGGCTAAATAACTTCTGCTAGCAGGATCCAGAAGAAGAGCTATAGAGCATTTTTGTGTGCTGTAGCTCTAATCTTTTGAAGTATCATGTCCCTCAAATGTAAGATTTGCCCAGACCCTCTTGGTCTTCCAGAAGGTTGTTAAAATCTGGCTCTGTCTATTAGCTTGGGGTCCCAATGGCAGTGCCCCTTGTTGGATGTGGTTAGTAGACTAGAAGATCCCACCTCCACCCCATTGATAAACTGGTTCCTGTTTTACTCAGTTTTGTTAACATTTAATGCTCTATAATATTTTACATTACTGTACTTATGATGTGGTAAATGACCCAGAGTCAATAAACAATGACATGACCAACATATGCATTTAACGAATAATAATAATAATAATTAAAAGGGTTAGAACTACTACCTACCTTGGAAATATTAGAACTTTTCATGCATGAACTTGAAAATCTAAGCCCCTCACTTAAGAAATCTTAATACTGATATTTGCATGATGCAATATGTATCTGTTTTGTACTTAGAACAGAATATTTTGAATTGCACCAATTCTAATGCTGACGTTTAGGGAGTGGGAAGTATTGCACAGTAATAAAACAAAACAAGTGAAGCTGAATAGGCTTGTGGATGTACAATATTTCAAATAACCATTTAATATTCCTTTGAAGCTTGTGATAGAAAGTTCTCATTAACCTAAATATGGGATATGAATTCCAATACAGTCATTATGTATGGAAATAACCCCTTAAGATTCACAGATAAAACAAAATTCATTCTTTGGGGCAATACATTTTATGCATATAGACAGTATTTAAGTGCTTCAAAAGTAGTTCCACCCTGAAAAATGACTGCAATAATAATACACTTTTACCAACACCTCTGCTCTTTTAAAACTTTTCTGATTTCCTATATTTTATAAATGATATTCATTTCTTAATGTTGAATACTCATCAGAAGCTAAGTTAAAAATATTGTTCGTCTCCATTTCAGATACTTTTAGCAAAAATAGGCATGTAAGATTTTACTTGTATGTTGTCTCTAAGTATATCAAAGAATAATATATATATATATATATATATATTAATAAATTGAAGGGCTGCCTCTCCTCTTTTACATCCACCCAGCTCACCATAGGTTATGGGTCCAATATATTAGGGATATTCATCCAATGGGAACAGGATGAAGGGCCTTTGGAGTGGTGGCACCTTCTCTATGAAACACAATTTTCCCCAAAGTTCAATTGGCCTCCACCATGTTCCTTTTTTCAAAGGCCCTGAAGATGTGGTTTCATCAACAGGACTGAGACCATGAATGGAGAAAAAGCTGATCAAGTGCTTGATTTGACTGTGTTGCTGCGATGTGTGGGATGGAATTTCTAGCTGTTTCTTTCCTTTTGAAGAGTGGAAATGGGAGGAAAAGTTTCCTAGAGGTTAACATCTTGACCCCTTCCTCCAGTGCAGGATTATAAATCGTCATTTGACTACGGACCATCCTGTGTGTTTTTCCAAAACTACTTTTTATCCCTGTAAATAAAATCTTACAGTGAGTGAACACGTCAACCTCTTCCCTATGCAGAATCTGATGCAGGTCAATTCAACTTTAAACCCAATTACAGAAGTGTTGGGAACCTAAGTCACACCTAATATCAAATAAAATGTGGAGCCAAGTTTTATCCTAACAGAGATGTGTAGCACTTCAGAAATGTTTTAGAAAAGGTATGAACACACGATTAAGCACCTATTTGTGATTTCATAAAACACCATGTCTTTTCCTGAGATTGCCATAGCTGTCCTTTGCAGAAAATGAAGTCCTGCTACTAAAGTAGTAACTATAAAGTGCCTGGAAAAAAATACTAAATTGAAATCATCTATTAAACCATAGGGCTAGCACAGAATATGTTACCTAGTTTGGGCAAAGAAACATTTGCAAGAAAACAACCAAGCTCAGAGAGCACCAAGGACCCCTAATTTCAAGCAACAAATATTATCCTGTATCAGTATTCTAAATCTGGGTTGCTGAAGGACAACCAGATAACAACACATAAGTAGAGAAAACTCAATTTTTTGATGGTGACCTAGTTGTCTGAAGTCCCTATTTGGTAGCACTTGTCTTCCATTCGCCATTCAATTTGTGTAAATTGGAGGGCATTATTGTACAATTATGCAGATCAATTTCCTTCAGATTCCAAGATTCAAGAAGACTTGAAGATGTCAGTTGTTTTTCTACACCACCTGCAAAGTAATTTACACTATCCATTTATTGTAGGTAGCCTCTTCTCTTATCTTCTTTAGATAGGGAAAAACTGAGCAAGGCCTTCCATCTTGTTAACCTTCTAATACCAACATTTCATGTCATTGTATATTACATAATCATTACATCAACCAATGGGAAGCTAAGAAAATATTGAAAAAAAATGTACTGGATGTTCAAAAGGTTAAGAGTTTAATTTTTAGATAGATTGAAAAACTTGGAGAGAAAAAGTCTAAACTAAGCAGAGCAGGCTTCAACATGGGCGCGGAGATGTATTTTATTCTTCCTAATCTTTTATATTTAATCATTTATTCTTCAAATTAGACAATAGCACCTGTTGGCAGCCTTGGGCGGGGGAGAGAGGTCATATAACATCCTGTTCAAAATAATTTTTCTATTACTTTCTGCTAACCCGTAAAAATGATTAATAAAGCTTGATATTTCAATCCTTTGTGCATTGCTAAATAATTGTCTAATAGAAAAATAATACAAAGCCAACTCTCTACCGCTGCAGAAAAAATCTGTTTATTATACATAATGAAGATGTTATTTCCTTTTATGCATTGATGTTCAATCAAATCTGAAAGGTCGTCATCCTATATATTAATTGAAAAATATGTTTCTTTCACTTCTTCTTATGAAGCCACAAAAATAATGCACAGTTACTAACATTAATGTAATTTCTAGCAAGAGGAGAAGAGGAAAATAGCAATAGCAGTTAGACTTATATACCGCTTCATAACACTCTCTAAGCAGTTTACAGAGTCAGCCTATTGGCCCCAACAATGTGGGTACTTATTTTACCAACCTCAGAAGGTTGGAAGGCTGAGTTAACCTTGAGCCAGACAGGATTAAGCTCCTGGCAGTGAACAGTGAGTTAGCCTCCATTCTAAACACTCCAACACTACGGCTCCTATATATATATTTAAATTTATTATAATTCTTAATTTAAATTGGAAGATTAACAGTGAAAGAAACATATTCTGGTGATGCCAATGTTATATTGAGTCACTCTTCACAGCACATCTACACTTTACATATTCATCATGCAGACTCGAGCATAAAGATTTCATATACGTAAATGCTAAGATATATGTGAAACAGTACAACACACAAACAACACAGACAGCACAAACTTCACTCTTGCACTAAAAAAGTAACAAAAAGAAGTACACTCACAGATAGAAAACTTGTTGCTGTTGTCTTTCCCTGGAAACAATTTAAATCCTCTAGATTTAAAATCTATGGCCTTTTTCACTAGTTAAGAAAACAAACAAAAGCACATATCAGATAAAGCAATCTAAAAAGACTTCATTTCAATTGACAATTCTTTTTACTCATGGAAGTGCAAATTAAAAGTAATTTCTTTCCAACAGCATCATGGACCCAAATTGAAAATATATATGTATATATATATATATATATATTTACACAAAAGGCAAATATTTATACATTAACTATAAAGACATATGTATATGTATAGCAAAGGGGGAACATATATTTTTCTTGAAATGAATGTATATTGTGCCTTTTATGCAAAATATTAAAATTTATGTAAATATTTTCCCAGGTGCCATAACTGGATTTGTGCAATTTCACGGTGCAGTTATGGAACTTGTAAAACTGAATTTAATTATGGGGCACAATAGACTTGCCAATCCTTTTCTTATTTAATGTGTGTTTATTTCCCTTATTAATGGGGAAGAACATTTTATCTTATTTTTCCAAGAACTTTACTGTAACATTTTATATCTATTATGGCATTTTAAAACATGAAGTTGATACGTCACCCATCCTGTAGTACAATTTCACATGGACTAAAAATTGTACCCATGAGGATATATGGGAAGACCTTGAATTATCATCAAATTATTTTCCAACAACAGTTCATGAAAGGAATCATACTCAATAAGAAAGAATTTTAAATATTTTTTCACTTTTATTTGATTATCATTTTTAAAGTAATTTTAACATGTCTAAGAAAAGAAAATTACAGCATTAAAACAGCGCCCACATTTGTGATGAATAGATAACCTTCTACCAATCTATCAATACACAATCAGCTACTATATACAGTACCAAGGAATTCAATCGTCAGGATAGTTATACTGAGATTTTAACCAAGTAAAAGAGATCAATGATAAAATTAAATATTTTTTGATAAACTGTGGTATTATAACATAATCATAGATGCAAATTAACCAAATGTGGAAAATTGAACTTAGAATGAAAAACCCTCTGTGAGCGCATGGTTACAATATTTGAAGTTTATAACTAATCAGATAAAATGATTTCTAATTTATGAACCATAGTTTTCTGCTTGTAACAGTCCATGTTAGTGCTCTCCTGCATTATTGTTCCATTATGTAGTTACCATGATTTCATTTCGATAAAGCTATTCATATACAGACTGACCATATAAAAAGTGGACTAAGTATATTCATCCTTAGTATAACTTCCATTTGATTTCTCCAGCTGGAACTCCTGCTTCTACACAAATATTAAAGATGCAGAAATCTGACATTCCCCCCCACCCCACAATGAATGCTTCAGAAAGAATGTTTACTGCCCGTCTTAAACTGTAGCTAGCACATTCTCACAAAGTATTTCTAAATTTATTACTTTGTTCCTATCTCTCCAAGTGCTGTGTTTCATTTTGATATAAAAATATTTTACAGATGGATCAGTTCTATATCCTCCAAAAAGGGGAATATCATAACTACTTGCTTATTTCCCCAGCTGTCCTAGAACAAATCCTAGATATATCCTAAAATATTTCAGTCCAAGATACTGATTAATTTTACGCCTGTATCAGATTTCATCTAGACTCTCACCAAGCAAAATATATAACTCTATCATAGTTTCTCACCATTTTTTACCACTAACCCTCCTTTTTGTAGCCTCTTTTCCTGAAAAAATACCTAACTACCTTGAATTTTCCATAATTATTTACCATGTGAGTTTGCCAATAAAGTGTCTTAAGATGGATTTCGGAGTATTCACATTATATGTATTATATAATTTAATAATCATATTGGAAACATAGTTCTTCATTCCATTATTTAAATGATTGCAAAACATATATTACTTAGCTACATGCTTTCAGATCATTTGCTAAACAAGATGGATTGACTATACTCAAAACAAATATGGGACTAAGAAATTCCAGATAGTTTATGACTGAAGAAACAA